TACATGGTCATCATACGGTAGTTCACTGTGTCGTGCCAGATAATTTTTCTAGTCAGAATCCATCATGCAAATTTATAAATCTGCTATTCATCCGTGCAGTGAATACTGCTTTTTTGTCTGATCTGGTGTTCCTGTTGCATATCTCAAGATTTTTTTTTACAAAATTCAAATAAATGTCTGCAATGTAATTGTTGAGAGAATAGAGGCTCTTGTATTTACTCTGAGTGGAACGTCCGATCATAGGAACGGGAATCGCAAACTGAGTCGTACGCATTGCCGCACTGAACCACGGTATTCGATATTATCAATCCATGTGATTAAACCTTTTCTTCACTAATCTTTTGTTCCATTGTTTTCCTTAGAATATTATTAACCAGAAACTACGAGCTTATGCGAGTATTATAACAGTAATTGATCCTCTCATGGCATCTCGACATCACTTACTTTCTCACCGCCGTGACGTGGCTTCCCTCTGTCTTTACTATAAATATTTTCATGACAGGTGTTCTAATGAGCAATCTTCCTCAGTACCTCGATCGCATGAACTTGCGCGTATTACTAGATTGACAACTAGATATTATCGTTTTACGGTTGAAATAGCTAGATGTAACTGTAAGTTCTATTCTAATAGTTTCTTTTATCGCACTTCCCACCTGTGGAACTTTCTACCGATTTCTTGCTTCCCTGCCCCTAACATTCAAAAATTTAAACGCAACGTCAATCGACATCATCTGTCTTCCTGAATTCTGGGGTTTTATTGTCTTTCTTCCTCAGTCTTCTCATTATTTTTCACTCCCGGTAGCCCTTTGCATTTTAGTGTCTTGCTATTTTTAAAGCTGTTTTATCTACAGCTAGGGGCTAAATAGCAGGACAGACTCGGTTGTCTAGCCTTGGTTGGCAACCAGTCTAAAAGCAGGAGAACTCAAACCTACGGCGGCATTGAAATCAGCATAACAGTCTGCCTACCAACCAGTGGCGTATCGATATTAAATAGTTAAGCAGTAAGAATGCTGTTGTTGGATATCGGTTGAGGAAAGACCTTTGGCCTTATTTCCGCTGTATTAGTATTTGAGCGGAAATCGGAAATGGTGATAGCATGAACAGGAAATTCATCCGTTTGCTAAAATAAGCAGGCCGTACAAGTGTACTGAGCTTTGAATAAACAGGGCGCACAGGTGTTCTGCGCGGAAGGAAATGCATGCTTGCGTGGGCGCATGCCGAGAGAGGCTTGACTACACGAAGTTGAGTAGGGAAGATGCCGGAAGAAGGCTTTACCACGTGAAGTTGTGTAGTTGCGTAAATATTATTTAACCTGTCCGATTCTTGATCTGGACATTACCAGGCTGTGGATGTGCTCGTTGGGCAATGGTTATCGCCACGAAATTAGAATTAACGAATCGGATTCAAATTCCGGGCTATTCTTTTGCGTTTACTTTCGTGCTAATAACCTTTACGAATCCACTGATGTAGTTCAAACAGCAGAGTAGACTGGAAGTTCAGGTCTTCGGGTGAAAACCATTCTAAGAAAATGAAATGTTCGAATTCCAAACCGGTGATAAACCAACGGGAAACTACTGCACTATATCTCCCCCAAACGTTCAGTAACTAGATTGATGACCGTTTGAGAATAACAGTTATTGCAAGATACGGTGTGCGGGTGGTGTAATGAATAACTGCTCGGAATTGCAAAATCGGAAGGCTGAGTTCTAATTTCAGTCAGGCTCGTTATATTTACTTACACGCAAATACTATTGGGAAAAGTATGAATCAACCTCATTTCACCCAGCGATGGATTAAATAGTAGGAGTTGTATAAGGATATCATTATGCCCCCCCCACACACACACACCACAAACTTTTACAATCCAAAAATATTTTCTGGCTTTACATAACCTTCAAAGATTCATAATCCGTAAAAATCAATAAATTAATCTGAAGAAGTCATGACAAAGATAAGATAGAGAAATCTGTGAAGAAGGCATCGGGACACTACTCCACTATCTTTCCCAAGAATTCATGGCAATTTGCAGATAATAAAGAAAAGGAATATATGGAGAAGCTGTGTTCGAATTCCAAACGAGTTCGTTACACTCACTTACCTACAAATATCCTTGGGAAACGTATGTATCCGTCTCTTTCCCCTATAGCTATGGATAAATAGCAGGAATGTGTCCCATATCTTAGGGGGCAATGAGTATAGGAGAAGTACAACTCTGAATTCAAAACTTCTCCCACTGTGTTAAATAGCCTCACCAACCCGTAACTGGCCAAGCGTAAAGAATACGACTACACCCTTGTAGATATGGGTAATCAAGGAGAGGTTCCAAGGAGTGAGAAGACCCGGGGTCTGGATCTGGTTTAATGAGTTTTTATCCCTAGTACTATTTTTTGAAAACTCAAAGGATACAATAAAAATACTCTTAGACATTCGGACTATTCCATCTTGAAAAGCCAGGATCATGTTATCAGGAATCAGACTCGGGCAAAATGTGGATACAATCGTATCAGCAGAAATAGAGAACGCATCTAAAAATTAACTACAGTCTGTTGTTAACTGGGGCAAGCAATGACTTTAGTTTTAACTCCTCCAAAACGAAACTTTTCTTTATCAGTCACCTGACAAAACTTTATCAATCAGCTGTAAATAAATGCATAAAAACTTCACGTATATTTTGAAATCATTTATTTTGAATGTTTTGTGGGGGTATTATACTTAATTTAACAAAAATAAAAATTTTATTATACAGCATACACAAAAACCATACCATATGTTTGCAAACATCACAAGAAGTATAAGCAAAACAGGGAAATGCAAAAACTAAAGCAGGCTACCCACACACAGAAAGTATTTCACCCTTGCATAGAATGATTGGCTGTAGACAGCTAGTCAGATCCAAAAACAGACTACATATTGTCTGGACAGCAGTATTTACAACAGTCCAGAGAGCAGTTTCAAACAAGTCGGTCATAGGTCACACACATGCTATTCAATGAAATTTTTTACTCTTTTTATATTTGGACTATTGCCCTCATCTTCGTTGTGTTTATCACAGCATTTCGGCAATGATAAGGACAATAGTTCGAATATAAATAGTGTAAATGAAGTCCTTTCATTGATCCGCAGGAGTGTCACACCTGATTCGCTGGTTTGAAACTGCAATCAGTTTCAGCCGAAACATTGTGATAAAAACAACAAAAATAAGAACAATAGTTAGATTGTTTGTTTTGTTTTGTTTTATTTTACAGCATATCAACCTCAATGGGTTATTTAATGCCGACAAAATTTTTAGAATAGATTGGTTTGGTTTATTTTGTTTTACGGCATATCAACCTCAATGGTTTATTTAATGTCAACAAAATTTATTTTTATTTTTTCCAAAATGTATTGCTTGTAATAATTTTTTTCAAAAATATATTGCTGGTATTAAAACATATTTTTACACTTTCATAGTGCTTTGACTCCAGTTTGGGGTTAACTATTTGCCCATAGCTGGGACCCTAACAGGTGCTACCACCCCGGGTCAGTCAGGGTGGGTCTGGGAACACCAGCAATTAAGAGGTGGTTCTACGCTTCTAAAAACCTACTGATCAGAGACTTTGCAGTTGGATGTAGTTTATCGTCTTCAAACTGGTAACCACTTTTCCTCATTAAGTCCCCGTCGAGACTTAAATACGGCCGTTATATGGTGGGTATATACGACCCAGTAGAGTCATAGAATGCAAAGGCGCGGTTTGCACGAGCTTTATTTCGCCTCTGTTGTAATATACGTTTGGGTTAAGCACTTGATATGACCTGTTATTCATCAACGTTATCTAGGGGTACATGAATGTTGTCTTAAATTTATTAGCAAACATCCGGATTCGTTTAAAACCTGATGATCACAGACCTTACTGTTGGGTGTAGTTTATCGTCTTACCAAGGATACGGATGTAGTTTATCGTCATACACATGGCGGACAATAGTCAGAATATAAAGAGTGTAATTAATGATAACTCCTCATCCGAGAAATCCAGATAGAAAGAACTTTAATTTATGCTGTAAGTTCCTTACAAAATTAAGGACCCTAAATAAAATACAGAGATTCTATATTACACCGACAGAAAAAGGACCCTACATAAAATGCAGACATTCTATATTACACCGACAGAAAAAGGACCCTACATAAAATGCAGACATTCTATATTACACAGACAGAAAAAGGACCTTTTTTCCTTTCTGGTATCTTCACTTTAATTGTTTTATAAAAATGTTTAATAGAAAACCATGTTCGTAATTATTTGTTATTTCTTGTTCTGATATTCAGATTATTTTATCAGTATTTATGTTGACGAATCATTTGAACAGTTTTGAACTAAACTTCCTCCTTCCTGGGTATGACAATAAACTACATCTGTGTCCTAAGTAAGACAATAAGCTACACCCATGGGCAAGACATTTCATCAGCAGGAACCACCTCTTAATTGCTAGCGTTCCCAGGTCTAACCTGACTCTGGGTGGCAGTACCTGTCAGGGCCCCAGCCATGGGCAAATAGTGAATCCCCAATAATGGTCAAAACACTATGAAAGTATACAAATAGGTTTTAATACCAGCAATACTTTTTTGGAAAAAATGTTACCAGCAATACATTATTACCAGCAGTACATTTTTGAAAAAGGAAAATATTACCATCAATATATCTTTGGAAAAATATTACCAATAATACATTTTTGAAAAAAAAATATTACTAGCAATAAAAATCGTGTCGGCATTAAATAACCCATTGAGGTGTTGATATGCCGTAAAAGAAAACCAAACCAACCCGAATTTCTCTCAAACTAGTAACCACTTTTCCACATTAAGTCCCCGACGAGACTTAAATACGGCCGTTATATGGTGGGTAGATACGACCCAGTAGAGTCATAGAATGCAAAGGCGCGGTTTGCACCAGCTTTATTTCGCCTCTGTTGTAATATACGTTTGGGTTAAGCACTTGATACGACATGTTATTCATCAGCGTTACCTGGGGGTACACAAATGTCGTCTTAAATTCATTAGCAAACATTCGGATTCGTTTAAACCGGGCAAATTTCACGTTCGGATCAGCAGGGAGACTTTCACAGACCATCTTACTTAAAACCACTGTACACAACGAGCACGCTTGCGCGTCGTATTGTCTGCTCCCGTCGGCGAAATCGGTCGCTCCCAGCCAATATGCCACTGAAGGATGCGGCTCAGGTGTGAATTCGTATTCCAACCCACAACAGAAATCACCATAGCAGACGCTAATATTTCCTGCTTTGCCTTCAAGCTGGACTGCGTTTATATCCATGTTACCTACGAAATAAGTAATTATTTTTTGGTTTCCTTGAGCTGGAGTGACCCGTTTGGGAACCACTGCATAATTAGAAGTAGCACAAGGATTTATATTTGTCATATTTATTGTCAACAAGCCCGGATTACTGGAGTAGGAAAATCCAGATGTGCCGCTATAGAAGCCGCTCCCGCCAGTTAAGGGAGACACTCTACTGGGAATGTCTAAAATGAGGTTCGACGAGATAAGGTTAATGTTGGCCATCCAAGCGACGGAAGCATGGTAAGGAACAGATATAAATAAAGGAGATAGACTAAACCACAAATTAGGGAAAATTATATTTCGAACATTTTTATAGTGAATAAGATCATTAAGGGTGTCTTCGTAGTAAATATCAAAGCAAGTAATACTAGCAAATCGTCCAAATGGGGTTTCAAAGACTTTATGTTCTGCAACAGCCGGTTCGTTGAAATAAGGCTCGTAAAAGAGGTGCTTCTTGCGATACCGGGACACAAGTGTACCATTAGGAGCATAAACAACATTAGTGTTGAATTGGTATCGCCCATCTAATGGGCAACGCGAATCGAGAGTTCGGTTGCAGGTTTCACGTTCTCCAACGTTGGCTACGATATACAGTTTGTTCTTCTTCGCCATACAGCTGAATTTTCTCTGGATTGTTATGTCATCTGTCGTGTTTTTGAGGTCGCACGGAGTCCAGGGGAAATTTACCTCCGGGTCTGGTATTGTCTCCAAAAAGTTTGCGACTGAATCACGAGTGAAATCATCAATATCTGCGTAAAGGCAGTACTCTGGAAAAACCAAGATCTGAGATTTCTGTAAGAAAAGAAAAATCACTTAGAGTTTAGGAAATCTTGTCTGTCATTACAAGGGATGACTCGGCGCGGACAAGATAATGCTGAGAGAGAGCGTATGTGAGTGGTTGGGGAGAGAGGGGAAAGTGCGAGCAAAGGTGAGTCAGTCGGTAAAAGAGAAGCTATGGCGGCGAAAGCATGTTGACTGGAAAGAAAAAGTGGGTCTGACGCGGGTAAAAATGCTTGAAGGGGAGAAAAAGACGGAGTCGGGTAAAGGCTAGTCGGTGGCAGTGTGAGTGCGGGGACGCGGGTAAAGGTGAAGCGAGTTTGGTGATCAAGAAGCGTGCAGGGCCCGAGTAGTGGTTCCTTGTGTCGGGATTAGTAGGTAGAGGATAAGGTGCGGGCAAAGGCGATTAGATGTTTAAGAAAGTCAAGCGGGGTCAAAGGTGAGTCAATGGGGAGGGGGACATAGATAGACAGGAGGTCAGGTGTGGGCAAGTGCGAGTAGTGAATGGAGAGATAGAATTATGCTTGGGCAAAGGGATTAGTAAGAAGAAAGAAAAAAATAGAATGTTTAAGCATGGGCAAAAGTAAATTTCATTGACTAAAAAAACCAAGATATTTGAATAAATTTCTTAAGATATGAAGGATTAAAAAATCTGAAAAATTATTCAGAAAATACTTTAGTCTTTCCTCTTAACAATAACGTAAACATTTAGACGTTAAAAAATTTTTTTATCAATTTTGGGGTCTTTTTTTCATCAGGGTATACCACTTTTTTTAACGTGTTGGTGGACATACCTAGAAGGTGAGTCGATGTAGTGAGAGAGATACACAGGTCAGGTCAGGTCAGGTCATGCGTGGCAAAGACGAGTTGTGGAGAGGGAGAGGTGCAGGCCCGTGCAAAGGTGGTTCAGAAGGGGGGAAAAAGAGGGAGGGGGAAAAGTGGGAGGGGAAGTGGGAGGGAGGGGAAAAGGGAGAGAAGGAAGGAGGGAGAAAGTGGGAGGGAGGGAGAAAAGTGGGAGGGAGGGAGAAAAGTGGGAGAGAAGGAGGGAGAAAAGTGGGAGGGAGGAAGGTGGTAGAAAGGAATGTGGGAGGGAGGGAGAGTTAAGGGGAGGTAAAGTAACTGATCAAGCGAGACAAACTTGTTAACCATTACACCACGCAGAGGTGCCCATGGTCAAGTTCTTCTCTGTTGCTTTCACGACCATCAAAAACTCCAATACGAAGCTTTGGCGTTAATTTTCGTTTAAAAAAATATATATATATCAAGGAGTATAAAAGTGATTTTTTTTCTTTTAAACTAAGTTCATTAAATAAAGAAACTAAGTTTTTTTTTTTTTTTTTGCAACGATTAAAGTATTAGAGAAAAATATCCGCTACCGAAAACTTTTTCGAAAAAGTAAAAACCTAAAAGATGTTAGTTCTCAACTTTTTTTAACCCCTTCCTCGCCATTTATTTTGGGGAAAAAAGTTTCATTTTCAGACAGATTTTTTTTATTTGTTTTTAATATAGTAACTATGAAACTGAAGACAGCTTGAAAAACCTGAGCGGTGGCTAGAACCTTTTCCAGGCGTAGGAGTTGATAACAGGACTCGTTTCAAGCCCAGAAGGGCATAAAATGAATCAAGGCCGACGTTTAAACACGTTTGTAACTGGTTTTTGAACGTTATGCCTTGGACGTGTTTATTCGTCCGTAACAGAAAAAGACACTTTCTGTAAAAACACATACACGAGGTCTACGCTGGAGAAGGGGTTAAAAACAGGAGTGAAATGGAATATTGTAAAAAAAAAAAAAAAAAAAAAACTAAAAGCAAATGACTTCACTAAAGAAAGAAAAGTACTTTTTTTATAAGGTCAGCAAATGTCTCGCCGTATTCTATTCTCGGAACAATCTTTCTTTTTTTTTTTTTTCAATTACCGAACTCCCATGCTCAGTTCGCATTAAGAATTTCCAAAATACTTTCATTTATGTGTAATTGTACATGGTCCATTCAAATCTGGTTTGATAAAATCTAAGGTTTTAGAGTTATCGACAGTGAAATTTCGGATTTATTCGCGTCGCGGGCAGCCATTACTGGCGTTGTTTGCATACATTCGTTGCAGAATAGCTATCAGTATAGGTATCATTGCGCAAACTGAGCATGTTTACGTAAATAGTTCTTGTCCGCAGTAATTGAGACAAATTTGGACAAGAAAGATTACTTCCGCTCTTAGCTTTCCGCAGCGAATGTATGCATACAACGCCAGTAATAGCTGCCGCCAATGACGCGAATGAATCTGAACTTTCACTGTCGATAACTCCAAAACGGTAGATTTTATTAAATTTATCAAGTCAGATTCAAATGGAGCATGTACAATTACTCATAAATGTAAATATTCTGGAAATTTTTTAATGCGAACTGAGCGCAGGTGTTAACCTGTAAATTAACCAAAAATAATTTCCAAGATAAAAGCAAAGATTGATTTTAAAAAAAGCGGGGTGGGGGTTACTTACTCGTCTCGCGGCTTCTTCGGCTTGAAGTTCATATTCGTCAATATGGCGACTCATATGAGCTACTGCCTCTTCCCGGCTTACAAACGACGACACGTTATTAACCATTCTTGGTTGGTAAACAGACACAGTGTAACCGCCATGTTGGTTTGCAAAAACAGGAATCCAAGTTAAAAGACAACAGACGATAGATAACAAAATCTGTAGCATTGTCGACTTCTTGTCTGTTCCTCTTACAACCATTTAAAAACTGTCAGGTGAAACTTAGGTATTATTTTCTGTTTAAAAAAAGTCAAGCCGTACAAAAGCGTATTTTTTTTCAAATAAAGTCCATCAAATGAAGATATTGAGATTTTTTCTTTGCAACGCTTAAAGTTTTACAGAAAAAAAGCTAAAAGAAACAACATTTCACTACTGATTATCTCTTGAGAATAAACACCTGACAGAATAAAGCATGCCGCTTCTTTTAAATCCAGAAGTGAAACCGGACATTGAACAAAAGAAAATATAGCTGTGTTCAATTGAGTAACTTACCATTGGACGTTTATTTATATGGGTCATAGATTAACGGAATTAACGTAAATGCCATTAAGATAACAGTAAATTAATCTAATCTTTTATTTTAAGCTTAGCTGATCACAATAGTGACACGAACACGTCTTCTTTCGTCGTAATGAATTTTGACAATCCCTAACTACGATGTCACAGATTAACTGTGACCTGGACGTTCTCGAATAACTCCGACGACCACTTCTTTTTCAGGTCATAGCCAAACCAGATGCCGAATATCTTACACAGTCTGTTTGTCCAACTGTAAGAAAATTTACTTGACCCCCATCACCGCTTAGTCAGGTTGTGACACAAGGTCATATTTTAACGTGGAGATCCGAGTGTTTTCGCTGGTCCAAGCTGGTCTTAGCTGGTCATAGCTTGTCTAAGCTCGCCATAGCTTGTCTTGGCTTGTCATAACTGGTCAGAGCCGGTTCAAGCTAGTCGTAGCCGTGATACCAGCAGCACAGACAGATTCCTGAGCCAGGTAAGTATCCTATGATTTTCTAAGCGTAGTTTAGATGTGGCACACGGCCAAGAATGTGGAACACCCAGTGAGGATCAAACTAATTATTCAGTCGTAACTATTTTAGCGAGACAAGCTTGCTAACCATTACACCACGCCGAGGTGTCCATGTCTGTCCAAGTGTAAGTGCCAGGAAAAAAGGCCTTCTGAAAACTAATAGACGGAGGAATACTGTTGTTAATATTATAAAGGAAAATAAAATATAAAATAACGATGATTATGAAAATTATAAATAAAATAATATTAAAACCTCGTTTAAAACAAATAAAAAATAATAATAATAAACTTACTCCCAGCATGCAACAGGGGCTGTTCCTGCCGGTAGTACAGACATACCACCAAGAGACGTGAGATTCAATCTCTTCGCCCAAGGATTGTCGGGATGACAATACGTGTGTCGCCCTGAAGTCCCTCCCGGTCGGCCAACTGTTCAATACCCGCGGCTGATCAATAAGATCGCTTCGATCGAGGCCTTGCCTTATCCCACGTTGTGATTAAAACAAAAAAACGAAAAGTGTCCTACTTCTTACTTATTCCGAGTTGCAATGCAAGCTGTGAGAGAGAGAGAGAGAGAGAGAGAGAGAGAGAGAGAGAGAAAAAAAAAATTACGGGGTGTATTTTAAAACCGTATAGTCAAAATGACCAAAGTCCATTGGTTCTCACTCTTTCTTGTTTCTATCCTTTGTTGTGGGATTCTTGAGTTGGTCAACCCGGGATCAAATCCGTTAGTCACTGGTACCAAATATCGCTCTCAAGTCCCTCCCGGTCATCTAACTGTCCAATACCCACGTCTGATCAATAAGGTGATCGCTTCGATCCAGGCCTTGCCTCATCCTACGTTGTGATTAGCTTTGATCATAAGGTCGGCCAGGATTAAATCGTCGTCAGGTATCTTCGTATTAGGCTGGTCCAAATGAAGACGCAAGGAAAAGAAAATAACTTGGATAAAAAAGATAATATGTTTATATATGTTCCTTTGTAAGCAAATATATGGATATAGATCCAACAGTATGAAGAAAAATATACGTAAAAGCAAACAAAAATCCTAATATGCAATTATACTGTTTTAATGTTAATAAAGAAGGTCTACTAGACCGAAACGTCCGACGTTGACATTAAATTAACATTAAAACAGCATAATTGTATATTAGGATTTTTGTTTGTTTTTCCGTATATTTTTCTTCATATGTTATTTTGTACAATAGTTGGTTAGTTCGTTATCAAAATCTAGAAGTTCATATGTGGACGTTTATCGACCCAACCCGCTTCTTAAGTTAGACGTGACACTTTGCTGGCTTGGCAAAGTTTGGCACAAGTCTTATATCGGAGGTTCTCTTCACAAAGACAGTCACGCGAGGTGTTTCTCGTGCGGTGTCTGGAAAAATCTCTCCCCTACTCGCTTCGATTACTTCGTATTTATTGACATTCGCCCAAAACCGGTGTGGGGGTTATGACGCGTTTGGGGAATTCAGTATTTTCTTTGTCTGTCAAAAAAGATCCCTTTGTGCTGTCTGGGTTCTTTAAATTAATTACTTCCCAATTTGGGAGTTCCATTTTTTCCATGGGTAGTGATTACGTCATCGATCCGCCCCGACAACTTCTTCCTTCTCTTATTATCATCTCTCACTAACACTTCCCAGTGGGCATGGGTAGCTCCTCGATCACCATCTGTGTCTTATCTGTGCCTGCTACCTTGGCTACTCCTCGAATAATGGCTCTCAACTGCTTGGCGTGGTTTATTCCCCGGATTGTTAATCAAATGAATTATCCTTTCAAACTTGTCACCTACGCAGAATTCCTATACACTGGTCTTTTCGTCTTTGACTAGGTTTTAGATACTGACCACATGGCTTGTCGCCCTCAGCTTGTCAGGACCATTTCGCCAAAACTTTATCTTCGAGTTTTGGTTTTAAACGAAATTTCACCCGCATCTCATACTTGTGTTTTGGTTAATCAATATTCTAGGGACGATCATCAATCGTCAGAATATCACCACGTGGCTCCTATCGTAAAAATATTGCTTTAAGCAACTTTTGTGATGTCAACGAACACTCGCTGCCACTTTTGTAATGCCAAGAATACTCGTTGTCACTTTCGTAATGCACGTTGTGGCAGAGACTTTATAATCACAGATACAACTATAGTAACACCGTTGAACAATACTGATGTCAGACGCCTTCGAATATCACTCACACTAATAGCACTTGCTCGATAATATTCGCTCGAATCCTAATCCGTATAGTGAGATATTCACTTACTGCCCCACATTAAAAATATTTTAAATGGGATGGATTATTCTGGGGTATCAGAGCTTGGACAAAAATTCCACGTAGACCCCGTACAAAACGGGGTCGGGTAGCTGTCTAAATTCTCCAGACGAGACTCTACCCTTCGACATAGCATCGTCTGGGTTCCTCTCTGCCTGGAGGCAGAGAGTTTGACAAGAACACCTCCGAAGTAATTTGGTTACAAATATTCAAAACTAATTCTCAAAAGTCGGATGTGGCACAAGGCCGAGTTTATTGTAGGGTATCCGATCCTGTAGGCTCGGGCAAAAATTCCCCGTAGACCCCATAAATACGGGGCCGGGTAGCTGTCTATCACCCCAGACGAGACTCTGCCCTTTGGCATAGCCTCGTCTGGGTTCCTCTCTGCACAGAGACAAAGAGTTCAACAAGCACACCTCCGAAGTAATTGGGTGAGTGATCACTTAGACGCCACGCTAATTCCCATATATACATTTCCTTTACCATCACGTGATCTACTTATTCCAAATGGGATCGCCTGTGTTTGATCTCTGGTGATCTGTGTTCAAACTCCGGTGTCGGCAGCGACACTTTGTTCCTATATAACAGCAACTTTTTCGGTTTCTTGACAATTAGGCTTTTTGAGAAAAAAAAAAAGAAGAATTATTCATTCTTTCTCTCGGTATATTCATCGTTCTATTCATTAACCCTTTCCTTTATTTAACACCGTTCTCTCGGTATATTCATCGTTCTATTCATTAACCCTTTCCTTTATTTAACACCGTTCTCTCGGTATATTCATCGTTCTATTCATTAACCCTTTCCTTTATTTAACACCGTTCTCTCGGTATATTCATCGTTCTATTCATTAACCCTTTCCTTTATTTACCACCGTCCTCTCGGTATATTCATCGTTCTATTCATCAGCCTTCTTAAGATTTACCAGTGCTTAATAGTGTCACACGTGTGTAAGTTCTTTCCGTGATAGAACTTGTGATATTACGGAGCGACTTACTTCTATAACATCAACTTTATCACAACTGTAATGTAAAACACACACACACACACACACACACACACACACACACAAACACATAAAAAAAATTATATGAAATTACCATACAACTTACCGTGTTTTTTTTTATTGTTGTTATTATGCACGTTTGCTTGTTCTGTTTTTCCTCGTGAACCCAAACCCAAACATGACCAGATGGTGTGAGTAAATATACCTCCACATAGGTTCATCGTGGTTCATTTTGTCCCATGCCACCGTCTCATACAGCTGTATTTCTTTGTCGACACCCAGATTTTAGAAAAATATGCTTTAACTCGAGGCAGAATTTTATACATAAAACAAAGTTTCTACCACATGGTCTTCAGACATGTAAGAATATGTGGCAAAAATATGAAAATAGGCAATTTTGAGAATGTAAAAGAATCAAGCAATTTTCAAACAGTAATACAGACACTGTCTATATTTCTGAGATGAGGTATTATGTACTCTATTTACATTATTCGGACTATTGTCCTCATCTTTGTCGCCATATTTATTACAACGTTTCGGCCGTTGTAAGCTCCAGCCTTCTTCAGGTGGTTGGAATGTCAAACTGAACCCTTTATTTCGCTCATGGGGTAGACTGTTCTAGTTCCACGTGCCATGTCTAATGGATGTCCTCAAGGACACATGGCACAGTGGATAAAGGCGTTAGTTAGATCCAGTGAGTGTGCGTTCAGTACCTGGTTAAGGCAGCGGAGAACTTTCAGAGGGGAATTAGCAGGAGATAAGTGACATTCATTAGACATGGCACGTGGATCTAGAACAGTCTATCCCAGTGAGGAACCCGAACGAGGCTACGCCGAAGGGCGGAGTCTCTTTCGGGGAGGTAAAC